TAAGCTTTCCGGGCCTCAGTTTCTCCTTTTGTCAGAAAAAGATAGCAGTCCCTCCCCTGTCTGCAAGTAAAGCTGGAGTCCCTGAAATCACTACCAGCGGACCGAGGAGCACGCTACTCGCAATGCCTCAGGGATCTGACCCGTGGTGTTCCCAGTGTTCTGTGAGGCGATTCTCAGCACAGCCTGGAAGATGTCTACCACTGACCAGGTAGTCACTTTCATAACTTTCACCAAGTGGCCACGTTATACTAGTTGCAGCTGATCATGCCCACGGGGTTAGCTATGCTGTAACTGGTGGGCAGAAGCTGGCCAAGGGCGAGTAGAGACTGAATTTGCTGCTTCTTGAGTAAAGTCATCCGCACTCATAGTAGAAAAGGAGTGGGTGAGTGGTGGAGCCAGGAGACAGACGTGTGGTAGGGAGAATATGATCCCCTCCTTTCTTCAACAACAAAGGAGACTGGCTTCAGCCACGGGGAGAAAGAAAGGAGAAATGGCCATTTACCCCTTACTTTTCCATCTTCTGTGACCGTGTCATGAGTGTTTCCCAAGACCAGAAAAGTCCCTTTCCAGACGTAGAACTGGACAGCGGACGGAAAACAACAAGGCCTCTCTCAGATTCTGATGATTGTTTAGAGTCACGATGCTGCTATGGGGCAGTGAAGACATTTCTGGTGTCTTTCTGCTATCGATTTCTAGCTTGACTCCACCGTGGGTAGAGAGCATATTCTGTATGATTTCAATTCTTGTAAACTTGTTGAGGTTTGTTGTCCCCACCCACCCACACCTATGCATGACCTGCCATTTCATCTCCCAACAACATGTAATTATAGCGTTAACTATAGGGAATCACAGGGTTAACTAGAGGGAATCACAACGTGGAGGAGGGGCAGTTTCCTAGGGCTGCCGTAACCGAGTACAACAAACTGAGTGGCTTATAATGAGAGAAATTTGTCTCTCACAGTTCTGGAGGCCAGAAGTCCAAAATTAATGGTGTTGGCAGGGCCATGCTCTCCCTGGGGGCTGTAGGAGAGGGTCCTTTCTTGCCTCTTCAGCCTCTGGTGACCCCACGTGTTCCTTGGCTTGTGGCAGTAGAACTGCAATCTCTGCCTCTATCTTCACATGACTGTCTTCCCTCTGGGGTGTGTGTGTGTGTGTGTGTGTCCCAATTCCCCTCTTCTGAGATACGTACCAGTTATAATGGATCAAGGCTCACCCTAATGGCACTATCTTAACAATGAAATCTACAAAGACCTTATTTCCAAGTAATGTCACATTCGTCACAGTCAGAGGTTGGGGGTTAGGACCTCAAGATTTCTTTTCTAGGGGGACAAAATTCAACCCAGAAGAGGGGAGGAAAGCTTAAAAAGTGAAGCTGAATATAAATGTTTACAAACAAGCTAAAACCCTTTTAAGGACACTCTCATGAGCTCACTCCAGTTTCTGCACATTTCATATAGATGGAATCATACCTTCTGTGGTCTTTGGTGTCTGACTTCTTTCACTTAGTATAATGCTTTCAAGGGTTCATTCATGCTGTACCATGTATCCGTACTCCATTCCTTTTTTATGGCTAAATAATATTCCATTGGATGATATACCTTATTTGTTTACCCATTTCATCAGTTGATGTAAATTTGGGTTGCTTTCCACTTTTTCAGCTATTATGAAAAATACTATTTTACTCATTTCACGTGGAAAGTTTTGTAAGAACATATGTTTTCAGTTCTCTTGGATCTGAACCTAAGAGTGGAATTACTGATTCACATCCGTAACTCCACAGTTAACTTTTCGAGAAAGAGCCACTCTGTTTTCCACAGTGGCTGCAGCATTTCACATCCTCACCAGCAATGTATACAGGTTCAATCTCTCCACATCCCCACTGGTATTTGTTATTTTTTCTTTCCTTGCTTCCTTCCTTCCTTCCTTCCTCCCTCCCTCCCTCCCTCCCTCCCTCCCTTCCTTCTCTCTCTTTTTTTTAAATGATAACCATCCCAGTGACTATGAAGTGGTATCTTTTTTGGTTTTGATTTGCCTTTCCCTAATGACTAAAGGTGTTGAGCATCTTTTCATGTGTTTATTGGCCATTTGTATATCTTCTTTGGAGATACATCTATTCAAATCTTTTGTCCACTTTAAAATTGGGTTATTTCTATTTTTATAGTGGAGTTATAAAGAGTTCTTTATATATGTTGGATACTACATCTTTATCAGGATATATGATTTGCAAATATATTCTTCCTTTCTGTGGGTTGTCTTTTTACTTTTTTTGATGGAGGTTCTTTGATGGGCAGAAGTTTTCAATTCCAGTGAAATCCAGTTTATCTATTTTTCTTTGGTTGGTTGTGATTTCGGTGTCATATATTAGAAACTATTGTTTAATCCATGGTCATGAAGATTTACATCTACGTTTTCTTTTAAGAGTCTTATAGTTTTAACTCTTATAGTTAGCTCTTTGATCCATTGTCTGTATAGTCATGCTGCATAATGACGTTTCAGACAACTAGCGGACCACATATATGACAGCCGTCCTATACAGATTAGCACCATCGAGCCTAGGTATGTAGTAGGCTATACCATCTAGGTTTGTGTAAATGCCCTCTATGATGTTCACACAATGAGGAAATCACCTAATGACCCATTTCTTAGAATATATCCCCATTGTTAAGCGACCAGTGACTGTACTAATATTTGTGTATAGTGTGAGCCAGGGATCCAAATTCATCATTTTGCATGTGGATAGCCAGTTATTCCAACACTACATGTTATTTTTATCCATTAATTTGTTTCAGATACTTTTTATGGCATCCTTGATCCTTTTCCATATATCCCACATATACATAGACAGCCGTCCTAACACACTGCCTGCAACCATACTCTCTTCCCCGGTGTGTCCTGGATCGCAGCCTTAGTGGGGTGTGCCTTCCCTGTGGGGTCCCTGGAGTGGTCCTTCCCACACTCCCAGAAGTTCAGTCACCGTCTCTGGAAATTCCCTGGGCTCCGTTCCTCCCCAGCTGAAGAGCAAAAACGGAATTAAAACCCTCCGTTGCTCACATGGGACACTTTGCCATCCTTTTTCATCTTTATTTTCACCAGTCACCATCCCCTTCTCAACAGAGTGAAAATGGCAGAGGTTTTCTCTGTTTGTCCATCACAAGAGTACACTGAAAAGTGAACAAGACCAAAATCACGGTTCCCTATCACGGCCTCTCCTGGGATCTGTGCACAAACCCTTAATCCAGAATGACCTGTGCAGGTGAGGAAATTTCAAGTCTCAGCATTTGGCTCTGGCGTTCCTCCTGTTGGTGTTTGCAAAGGCTTCCATGAATGGCTTGTGGGGCCTCTCGCTCGAAGATGTGCTCAGCTGTTACAGATTACCTTCCGTTTGTATGTGTTTCTTTAGTGATCTGAGGTCATCAGTAACCTGAGATTCTCTGGCTGTGAAGGCAATGGGTGGAGGATGCTACAGGGAAGAGATCTGGAATTACACAGCAGTACCCCAGATGTGCTTGACTGGGTGCGACGGTGGTGGTGTTGGGGACAAAGCGAGTATGAGTGGAGAGATGGGGAGGCACAGTTAGGACTGAGCACATAGGCTAACCCGGCTCACATCACCTAGACCAGAGAGCTGACTTCCCCAGATACGCATGGGACAGAAGGAGATGACTCCATACTCACCACCTTAGCACCAGTTCTCAGCCGACAAAGACCTGTTTGCCCTTATTTTGGCATTGAAATAAAAGAAAAATTTCTGACCTCTTACATTCTTTTATTTATCCCTGAGTTGAAAAGCATATCCTTACCCTGTGAGAGTGTAGGCTAGTGAGAAAACTCCGCTTCAGAAGCAGACTCTCTGCAGGGTCTCAGTGGCTCCTGGGCAATCGAGTCTCTAGTCACACGTAGTTTCCTCGGACTTGTGGAATCGTCTGCCATCAAGCTGCTGAGGAGTCTGAAGGAGGACGCACCGGGAATCATTCTGCCACCGGTACAGACGGGCGGTTCTACTCCAAGCTGCTGACTTCTTAGGATCACACACCCGAAGGTGTGTGCGGTGTGCGTCTGCACTGGGGTGCATGGATTTTGCAGATAGGGTTAGGGACGGCAGAGTAGTGTCCTTGTTCAATGGGCATATGAGGCAGATGAGCAAACATCTACAAATACTGATTTCCTCTGACACAACGTGATGTCGGTACACTTATTTATTCAGTTCAGAGTCAATTCGAATAAGCGATTTGTCCTGAGGCTCTGTGTTGGCTCTCGCCCTGGTCCTGTGGGGACTCCAGGGGATGAGAGGACAAGCGTTCCTCATCTGCTTTCAGAGCAAAGCCAATTCCATGAAGGGAAGGGCAGCCTGGGGTCAGGGCGAAGTAAGCTAAAGCAACAAGAGCTGTTTGTCTTCAGTGAGAGGAGAGCTCAGAGAGAGCCAGGTCCCATGCGACGGTCTGGGGAGGGACGTGGGACCTGGCAGGACTCTGAAGCTGTTAGATGAGGGCGAGGTGGGGGAAGGAAGGAGGGCCTGTGAGCACTGAAGGCACAGAACACCAGGCACGAATGTGCTCATCAGTGGATGGGTCAAGGCCTCTATAAGGTCTGTCAGCCCGGGTCGACCTCCCGCAAGGCGTCCGCCCGGCGCCTGGCGAGCAGCAGGAAGAGCAGGCCCAGGGCCCCCAGCAGCGCGGCCACGACCAGCCTCACGCGGCTCCACGGCGCCTTCCCGCGCCCCTACAGCGCCGCCAGCAGCCCGCGTCCCCGTCGCCTCTGCACTCGGGCCGCCACGCTCTCCGCCACCCTGCGCAGCCGCTCCTCGGGGCGCGCGCGGCCCAGGGCGCGCGCCAGGCCGTACACGTCGTTGGTGTAGGGCGCGCCCCCGTGCGCGCGCACCAGCCGCTCCAGCAGCGCCATGAGCTCGGCCACCTGGGCCTCCCGCTCCGTGCCACTGGCGCGGTTGTCGAAGGCGCAGACGCGGCCGCCGCACTCGGCCACCAGTTCCCGCAGCGCGCGGTTGTCGGTGCAGCGCACGTAGTCCTGCAGCGAGGTCCCGGCCAGGTCCTCCTTGTGCGTGAAGAGCAGGACCGTGCGCGCCCCCGCGCCCTCGCCGAACATGGCCTTGAGCCGGCGCGCGGCCTGCTGGTCCTGGGCGGTGAAGCGGCCCAGCTGGCTGACGAGGAGCAGGGCGTGCGGCCCGGGCGCCGAGAGCAGGTAGCAGCGGCCCCTCTCGCCGCAGCCCGGCTCTGTCCTGGGGTCTTCGGCGCCGAACAGGTCCGGGGTGTCGATGACGTCCAGGTGCCAGCCGGCCCAGCGGCAGCTGCCCACAGCGCAGGTGGTGGTCACCTGCGCGGCGCTGAGCCTCGAGAGGAAGCGCCGCTGGCCCAGGATGCTGTTGCCTGTGGCGCTCTTGCCGGCCCCCGTCCTCCCGGCCAGGATGAGCCTGAGCCTGGGCTCCTGCGGGTTGTCCTCGGAACCTGCGCGGACAATGATTCGTGAGCCGCACGCCTGGAAGCGACTGAGCCTGCTGACCTGGACCTGCTGGACGCCTTTCGAACAAAGGGGAGCAATAGTGCCTCACCCTTTGCTTTTCAAGGCCAGCCTTCACTGAGGTGATCTGGTTAGAGACTTTTGGACTCCCGGGGATCTTTACCCGTTCATGTCTTTCCTCTTTGGCGTCACCACATGCGCCTGGGGATGCTGCAACACCCCGTGGGCTTTTCTCTAGAGGACGCCCCTTTACAATTCCAGGCCACATGGGCTGCATCTGATGTGACCTCTGGTCACCCACAGCGTGCAGAGCTGTTGCTTATTTCACGACTTCAGTGGCCTCTGCGATACTCTCCCAGGTGCCATCCCAGGAGGAAAGGCAGCAGGCCTCGTGTGGAAGGGCTGCCCAGAGTCCCAGACACCTGGGTTTGAGCTACAGCCCCGCCATCTGCCAGCTGTGTTCCCTGTGAAGGTGCTTACTCTAAGAGTTAAACGTCTTCTGCAAAAATGGAAACAGATTGGGGCTGGCCCCGTGGCCGAGTGGTTAAGTTCGCGCGCTCCGCTGCAGGCGGCCCAGTGTTTCATTGGTTCGAATCCTGGGCGCGGACATGGCACTGCTCATCAAAACCACGCTGAGGCAGCGTCCCACATACCACAACTAGAAGAATCCACAACGAAGAATATACAACTATGTGCCGGGGGGCTTTGGGGAGAAAAAGGAAATAATAAAATCTTTAAAAAAAAATAAATGGAAACAGACTGTTTCTCACAGGGATGTGGGGGGTGAGCTGAGACAAGCTCTCTTCTTCCCTCCCTCCTCCTTCCCTCCTCCTCCCTCTCCTCTCTCTCAAACCTGCTGCCTAAGAAGACAGCGGTTTAACCTTCCATCCTGTTCTCTAACACCTTCTGCCTGGCAAATCGTGTTCCCTCTAGTCCATGATTGGATCCCTTCTGCATCCTCCTCTGCGGAGATCCGAGTAGATCCATGGTCCTCATTTCCAACTTTGGGATTGGAGGCGCAGGCTAGTCACAGAACTTAATGTCTCCCAGCAGGGCAGGGGCAGAGGTCCAGCTAACGTGCAGGTGGGGCTTGTCTCTGGTCAGTCTGGAGTTGGCTCGCCCCTCATCACCCAGAGCTCACCCCTGGGGGCAGGAACGCCTTGCGAGATGTGTTCTTACCATAGGCATTTTCTTCGTCTTTTACCATCCTCCGTCCGCGCATGCTACCTGCAAGAGTCCCAAACACAGTTTGATCTTTCGTTTCTCATTCATTTATTCATCAGATAGGTATAACTCCCCACAATGTGTCAGGCAAAGTGGAAAGAGCTGGTGACCCCACAGTGAGGAAACCATGGTTCCCTCCTGCCCCTGAACATCCGAGTTTAGGGAGGAACCTGGGAAGAGCCTGGGCTGGGGTTGAAGTGAGGCTGAGAACTTGGCTTTGTCATTTCCGGGACTCCAAGTGCAGCAGCAGAGCGCAGAGCATGACACTCACTCTGCGTCAGTGAGGCGGCTGTGGATGTTAATTTCCCAGGTAATTCTGTGTCAGTACATGAGCCTTAGATATGAAGTTTCCCCAGGAGGTTCAGCAGCCAGAGGAGACTGGAAAACACTGAGAACCCCAAAAGTTGCCCAGTGACTTAGGGAACACCCTAGGGTGGTTGGCCTGGGAAACAACCAGAAGAAAATTGGAGTTTTGTTTGTGGAAATAGGAAAAGAGACGTACCTCGCAAGCTGCTCTGGACAGCCTCTGACTCTGCTCTCAGCAAGCTGGATAATTTGGCTCGCAATGTGTCTAACTCTGATCTGTGTGCTGGAGAGACTGGGGCGCTCCCCTCCATCTCCTGATGTTCTGCCCCAAATCTGAGGCTTCTCAAAGTAAACTAATGATGTCCAGCTCAACCATCATTTAATACAGTAAACGTTCAGGGAGGATGTTTGCCGGATCCCACTGGTACCCGGACGCAAGTGCATAGTCTCTCCTCCGTCTGGGTCTCCAGCCTCATCTCCAGCCACTCCCTGACTCGATCAGCCGCTCCACCAGGTGCAGACTTCAGGGCCTTTCCAGCCCACCTTGTGCTTTCCCTGCTGTGACCATTCATCCTCTCCCACGTTCTGTCTGAGTCCTGCCTGAGCTCACATCCGTTTCTAATTCTCCCTGTCCCTGTCGTCCACCTGGTTACTGCAGTCGACCGTGTTCTCTCCCACTGGCACCACACAAGGGAAAGCAAAGCAGAGGTTTGCTGAATACCTTGTCTCTGGCCAAAGGGCCAAGAGGACAGGTTTGCCTGGTCCTCAGTCCAAATTGCTCGTGTTCCTGCAGTAAGTGCCCTGCTACCTCCCCAAGCCTTGAGGAAAGTGCAACCCACGGGCCTACTGTGATTGATTAGTTTGTGTGTAGAAATCACCAAGCTGCCATAATTGACAACAGCAGAAATGAAGAAACAGCCACAAGATTAGAGCAAAGAACAAGAATTTAGCCAAAGCAAGAAGTCCTTGTCAAAGGTGGAGATGAGAACATGTGCCACACGGAATTCACAGTACCCTGGGGTAGGTCTGTGGGCTTTTCCATATAGTTTGGATGGGGGTTGAAGTGATTTTAAACAGTTTTTAAGTTGAAGTTTGGGTGACAAATGGCTCCAACTCGTTGAGGGGCGTAAACCCTGTGAGTCCTGTATTCGTAATCCTCTGAGACTTCAAAGTTCATCTAGTTCAGCACCTCCCAAACTTACTGTTTTTCAGAACTGCTTGAGTGTTCTTTAAAAATGTACATTTTGGGGACCATCCTCAGAGAGTCTGATTCATGAATCAGGTGTTTGTGATGTAATCAGTCCACAAATCAGAGACTGGAAACTGTTATTTATTCAAACGTCTTCATTGTGCAGATGGAGAAATTGAGGTGTCCCTGACGCTGGGGTGGGAGAAGCTTGGATTAGGGGTCCTGCATGGGAAGGGGTTGGAGAGCAAGCTTAACCTCAGATGTCTCCCGAGGGCCCCTGCTGTGGGCAGTATGGGGAGGGAGGATCTGGGGCGTCCATTCAGATGCACCCGGATCTGCCACATTGTCACTCGCTCTGAGGTTGGATTGCTCATGGTCCAGAGAAGCATCTTTCGCCTTTGCTGAGTATGCAGTCTGGGCAATGTTGCATGCTTTCAAAATGTAACCTGTTCCTGGAAGTGGTTCCAGCACACACTTCACTCACTGTGTTAAGGGAGTAAAGAGGGGCGACAGGTTTGTTCCTAAACAAGAATGTGCATCCTCCAGGCTGGAGAAGATACTCATAAACTTCCTCTCTCAAAACTCGGGACATCTTTAAACCTGGAAGCATCATCCTGGGTGCTCAGGCTCTTACTCACCCGCATGGTGCCTGGTGGGATGCAGGAGCTCAGGCAGTAAACGCTCTCAGAACCACTTTCCTGCTGGGTGGTCACAGCTCCCACTCCCCAGCCAGATACCTCCCAGTTTGGGCTCACCTTTCCTGGTGACAGGCCCAGATGCTAGCTCCCAGAATCAGCTGGCCTACTGCTTTCTGTTCAACTGTGAGTGCAGCAGGCTGTTCCTTCCAACACACAGAGGAAGTCACTGTGCTTCATAGCCCTCAGAACCCAGGAGGCTCAGGGAGGGAGGGCCCAGTGGTGACAACTTAAAGAGAGACACAATCCCCATTGGGTTGCGCATTTGCAGTGTTTCTCCTGCAAACCCTCCTTCCTGCTGTGACCAAGGTGGTGTGTGACTCCAGCAGGGCCAATCTACCAAATATCTTGCCACAGCTGTGGAAGGGAAGGGCGGTGTAGGCCCCAGCCCTGACTCTACTTCTAGAGTTGGCGACTGATCTGATCTTCAATTATCTGTTACCCTTTAGGGATTTCTTTTTCCCTATAAAATTGGTCCAGAGAGTCTCCTGCCCCAGGAGAAAGAATATGCTAACCATTCTCAACGGCTGTCTGTTGACTGGACGTCCATGTGGCCAGTGCTACCCTGAGGTCCAGTCCATCAGAAAAGTGTGGAAGCAGAGTCTCATCATTCTCTAAGGAAGGCAGGTGCTCCAGCTATTGAAGGACCTGAGGGCTCGGCAGTGTGTTGAGGATGAATGCCTTACTCAGTTCTTCAGTGGACCTTGTCACAAGGCCTAGTCCAGTCATGTGTGTTGGTGTCGCCAGTTCTAGTTTTCTCTCTTCTCTCAAGAGAGTCATGAGAGCGAGGTCAGCGACAGACCCAATCGTGTGGTGAACACGCTACAAAAGAACTGGCTGTAGACCTGGTCATGTCACTAAGCAGCTGTGACCTCACCTAGCTCACTTAAACTTTTGGGAGTTCACTGTCCCTTTACATGAGAAGGAAGGCTAACCTGAGCCCTGGTCCACTGGCTGCGGCCTGATTTTTCCTCTCTTCCTTGCCAGCCAAAGTTTTCAGTGTGGGAAGAGACTCAACTTCCACTATTTCCCACCCTTTTTTTGGGATGACGGACACTCCCCCTGTTTCCATCAGCATTGCTGAGGCAGGGAGCCTCTCGTTCTCCCACTAGATCAGCAGGGCCAGGACTACTGTGAGGCAAGTGCGGTGTCCAGAGCACAGAATTTAAGGAGGTACTCACCCCAGAGTCACTCAAGGGCTGACCCTGCAGGTGAACGGTCCTGAGAGTGAGGGCTTCCTTAAGAGCGAGGTGCCTGTAGCCCTAGCCTCACCCTACTCCAAGCCATGGAGATCAGCTTTGACTGAGTCTTGGAGATCCGACATGTACCTTCCATGAAGATGCTTTCAGTGCCTCTTCGATACTTCCTTGCCATTCGCTGTTCCTATGCATGCGTGTGGTGTCTTACTTCAGTCACCTGTAACTCTCTGCCTGAGGGCTTATCTGGCTATAAGAGTTTGCTTGGCTAGTGCCTGGAGCAACCTGAGGTTGTCAGAGAGCTAACAAACACAGGAGCAGACCTCATCAATGACAGTCAGAAGTTAGTGAATTAATACCCTGGTTTCCTTGCTTATCAAACTGTCCCCTGCCCACCTAGTGAGGTAACTCTGAGGTATAGTCTCCACAAATTGCTGAGGTCCCCAGCAGGACTGAGGCACAGTTGTCTGCAGTGGGGACGTCCGCATCCTTGTCTACAGTAGTAACATGCTTGTGAACGCCACCTGCTTTGGCCCCTCTGCCTTCCCTGTCTCTGTGTTGTGTTCCCCATCTCTGCTAGTGCTGCCTGGGATTACCTCGTATCCGAAAGGCTGTCTCCATCTCCACTTTCCTCTACATTCCTGTTAGCTTTCGATTATTTCTCCCTGTCTCTGGGTTGCTCCCCTGTTCTTCACTCACTTGCCATCAATAGGGGGAACATATCTGAGGCCCGAGGCCCTGAGACTCCAGGGTCTCAGAACTATCCAGAATGCTTATTTCCTCTCCTCCTCTATTTCGACACTTCCTTCCTTCCCTTTCAATATTTACACGTTCACTGTTTTATTCTCTGTTCTTATAAATCCAGTAAAATGACACAGAAATCGTTAAATTCATGCATTTTAAGGAAAACATCCTTCCTGAAGAGATCTTTGCTAATAAGAAGTTCAAACCTCCTGGGGTAATTCTTCAAACCTGATCTCCCTGTCTTTTCATGACATTCCCAGAGCTGAACAGTCAGCATCCCTAGGGCCATGAAGGAAGAAGAGTGATCCAGATAGCATCTCAGGAGAGGAGACTATAAGAAAATAACTCCTTCTATCAAATATTGACTATCTGAAAGACATTGGCCCCACTGTTCCCCAGAATTTAGGTGCGCTATTTCAATGCCCATGTAGATCCTGGTTCTTTTTTGAGGAGAGGGAGGTCATGGCAATCAAGGTTTACTTGTTTACAAGTACCAGCCATGTAGGTGGTGTCCAGGATTCAGTTTCACAGGACAAGAACCAAGGCCAGCTTCCTAATTTTACAGCATGTTTTCCTTTATGTTTAAAGGAGATGGAAGTGTCTTATCCCAATGAGATGTTAAAATGTTGTGTATTTAATCTTCAAATATTATGTACAATGGGATACTGAAGTCAAACGTATTAAAAATGTTCAGAGTGAGAGAGAAGCATATTACAATTAGTCTAGACTTGTGTGAGAACCTAGGATGAGTTTCAGTTAATAAAGGACCAGGAGAAAGGACAAGGGTAGAGGCATATTTGAAGTAACCTCAGCATGCCATAAAAAGACAAATGAATGAGGAAAAATCACTCAGACAATGTGTAGGGTATAAAGAAAAAGGACTAAGAACAGAACTCCAAAGGCCCTCATCATCCTGGATCCATAAAGGAGAAAGTATTGCAAATGTTCAAGAAGTAAAAAAAGCTGAAAGGTTTGTTGTTGTTAAAAACAAACTGAAGAATATTTGAAAAGGAAAAAAAATCAGTTAAAATGGGGGATTTTTTGTTTCTGGTTAAGTTGGTGGAAGATGCAAAAGCCCTTAACCTCCACAATGACAAGAATTGGACAGAATAAAAACGTACTTCTCTGTGTCTAGCAAAGGATGGTGGATGCAAGGAAGCACTGAGGAACAGGATTCATGATAAGAAAGAGCCCTTACAGGTGAGCAGAGAGCTGGGGAGCCTTCTTTACCTGGGGTAGGTACTTGGCCTGGATATAAATGTTTGGATGGGTTGGCTGGCCACAGAAAGATAGACTTTGCTGAGTGGAGGAGAAATTAGATGATCCTTTCATGACAAGGTGGGCTATCAAAATAGATGGGCATCTACATGATCCTTGAGGGAAAACCAAATTGCTTCTCTTGATAACTTCTCCCCTTTCCATCATAAATTATCTTTCCTAAGAAAGCTGCAGTGGAGAATGGCCAACAAAACCGAGACATTATTCAATCTACATATTGTTACAGGGCCCTGCTGATGAAGTAAAACCATTTTCAATTGGAGCCTTACACCCTCCCAGTTCAAAAGTTGACACGATAAAGAAGCTGCTGTGGTTTTTTGTGGTTGCAGGATCAGAAGTGAACTCAGTCTATTTAACTCAAATGTAGGAGCCAAGGATGTGATCACTCTAACCACCAGACAGATAAATGAACTTGCACTCTCCATGAGATAAACCAAACCAGGGTAAACATACACTTCATACTTCAGTTTTATTGTCTCGCATACAATACAAATTTACATGACATGTCAAGAATCTGGAAAATATGAATCATGATCATAAGGGCAAACAGTTAGTAGAAGCAGAGCCACAGATGACTCATTCATTAGAATTACCAGTTAAGGACTTTAAAATAGCTATTACAAATGTACTAAAGAATTTATAGAAAAATAAATATAATGAGCTAAGAGTTGAAGAATTTCATGGGGGAAATATAAACTCTCAAAAGAACAAAATCTTGAGGCCAGCCCAGTGGCATGGTGGTTAAATTCCCGTGCTCCTCTTTGGTGGTCTGGGATTTGCAGGTTCAAATCTGGGGCATGGACCAGCACACTGCTCATCAACTAATGCTAAGGCGGCATCTGACATGCAAAATAGCAGGTGATTGGCACAGATGTTAGCTCAGTGCCAATCTTCCTCAAGCAAAAAGAGGATTGGCAACGGATGTTAGCTCAGGGCCAATCTTCTCCCTAAATCTGAAACTAGAAAATAAAATAACTGAAATTTTTTTAGAAAACTTACTTGGATGGGCCTAATAGCATGTTGGACATTGAAGAAAGGATCTAAGAACTTGAACACAGGGCAAGAGGAGTTAGTGAGATTGAAGCACAAAAAGGAAAAAAAATTGAAAAAATAAATGAACATGGCACTAGTGATCAATGGGACAGTATCAAGTGGTCTAATGCCATTGGAATCCAAGAAGGAGAAGAAAAGACTGAACTGGGTAGAAAAAACGTTTTGAGGATATGATGACCAAAAATGTTAAAATTTGATGGAAAACTTCAACTCATAAATCCAAAAATCTTAATTAACAGTCAGTAGCAAATACGAAGAAAAACAAACCGAGGCACTTTATAGTCAAACTACTGAAAACCAAAGAAAAAGAGAAAAATTTAAAATCACTAGAGGAGGCAAAAAGACACATATTATACACAGGGGACCAATATAAGAATGACAGCGACTTTCTCGTCAGAAACAATATGAGCCAGAAAACATTGGAACAAGCTTAAATTGCTGCAGAAAAATAATAGACTTCTTTATTCAGCAGAACTACCCTGAAAAAATGAAGATTAAAAGAAGACATTTGAAGATAATGAAAACCAGGGAGTATTTGTCCCACCAGGCTTATACTGCAAGAAATGTTAAAGAAATTCTTGAGGCTGATGGGGGTGATACCAGATAGAGACTTGGATCAACAGGAAAGAATGAAGGTCTCTGGAAATTTTAAATATGTGGGAAATATGAAAAGACTACTATTTTGATTATTGCTTTGTTTCTAATAAAGGAAATTGATTAAAGCAAAATAATCATAGCATAGTGTGAGTTTTGTAACATATGAAGAAGTAAAAAAAATGACCACAATATCACAAAGGGAGGAGAGGAGCTAAACGGAAGTAACTTCTCTGAGGTTCTAATATTTTATTTGAAGTGGTGCACTGTCTTAATTCAAGATTGAGAATTAAAGTTAAGGGATAAATATTTTAGTCCCTAGTGCAACCACTGAAAAAGTAAAAGCCAAAAGAAGAGAGAAAGTGGAATAAATTTTTAAAACTCAGTTAATACAAAAGAATAAAAAAAAGAGGGACAAAGAAACGATGGGGTAAATAGAAATCAGGAGCAGGAAGGTAGACTTAAATCCAAGCACAGCTGTAGTTACGTTATATGTAACTGATCTTTGACAAAGGAGCAAACGTTTCAATGGAGAAAGGTCAGTCGTTTCAGCAAATGATGCCAGAACATGATTCTGGATGTCCACCTGCAAAAAAATGAGTCTAGACACAGACCTCAAATCTTTCACAAAAGTTAACTCCAAATGAATCATAGATGTAAATGTTAAATGAAAACTATAAGACTCCTAGAAGATGACGTTGGAGAAAAATCCAGGTGACCTTGGGTTGGCGGTGACTTTTTAGATAGAACACGAAAAGCATGATCCATGACAGAAAAAATTGACAAACTACATTTCATTAAAATTAAAAACTTCTGCTCTGCAAAAAATACTAAGAATGTGCAATAAAATAGAATGCAGAAAATACGATAGAGAAAATCAAAGTTAGATTTTTGTAATGTGTAATAAAATTGATAAATCTTCAGCCAGGCTGATCAAACAAAAAGAAATAATCATGAACTACCAGTAGCAGAATTCAAAGAGGAGAGATTACTATAGTTCCTGTACATATCAAAGGCATAATAAAAAGATTTTATGAGTTTGTGCAAATAAACTCAACAACTTTGATATAATGGAAAAATTCCTTCAAAAGCATAACTTACCAAAATGAGCATAAGAAGACATAAAAAATGAGAACAGCCTTGTATATTTGGATAAAAATGAGTTTGCAATATCAGTTCCCTGGGAAGGTCCTCACATAATGTAGAAGGCTCGGAGTCACTCTTCAGCTTTGCCGACACCCCAGGCTGAGTTTCTTGAGCTCAGCGTGGGTATCGGCGTGTGCCTGTTGGTCAACCCTGCCTTCCAAGTTTGCTTATTTCTCATGGCTCTCAACTCCAGTTTTAGCTCCACCTTCTTTTTATGTGTATTGTTTGCTTCCCCTTTGGAGTTTTCCTTATTTTCTAGTGAGCTGATCAGTCATAAAAGTCTTGTTAATTTTAATAAATTCAGCTTCTATTTGCATTTAACAGGACGATGCATCAGAGTACCCAGTCCACCATCTTGTCTGAAGTCTAAGCTTCTGTGTGTGTTTCACTGGCCGATGTGAGTGGGGCAAGGGATCAAACCTGGCTGAGCCTCTTCCTGTGTTAAGCAAATTAGATGTGCCTGAAACAGACCAATGACGTGTCCATGTGTCTGTGTGTGGTCGTTGGGCATAAATTGGATCCCTTATGGAGTAAATGAGCCATGTGTCCACTTACCATCTTCTGAGGATAAAACCATAGAACAGAAATAAACACAAGTGATTTCAGGAACTTTATGGTTTACTTGTTATTTTATTATATTGAGTAGAAATTTTATTGTTATTTTTCTTAAGTCCAGTAGAAATAGTATTAGGAAGAACAAAGGGAGTTTCCATGAACATAAAATTGGCTTTAGAGATTTGAAAATGAGACGAATTTTATGTAGGCAACTTCCAAATGGTTTTGGTATTATATTTTGAAACAAACAGTAACTTTTACAATAATTTGGTTCATTAATAAATAGGGTGATGTTAAGATTGAAACGCTTCACAGAATCTCGAACATTCACTGATGTCAGGCTGTACATTACACGGAGGCCCTGTGATTCACGCACTATATGACAGTGAGCAGATAATTACTGGTCTGTCCCTATAGTCTAGGAGTCTTGCGTTCCAGTCCAGTGGTCTTTCTGGAAATTATCATTAACTTTTGGAGTATAATTAACAGGAAGCTACAGAAGAAATTGTATATACAAAAGAGTGAGCAGTAAAACAAGTTGCACATTCTGTACAATACACAAAATAAGAGAATTAACAATTTGACAAACAACTGAATACAAAACAAAAGACAGACTAGTGCTTTGATTAGGGCTTGTTTTAGGCAATTGGCGTTGGCCGTGGTTGTGTAACGTCTCTGAATTTCCATGTACTTACTTGATAAGACTCTCTTTGAAATCCTTCAGTGCTTCCTCTGACTGCACAGGTCCACCTTCTGACCCTGTCACTAAGCCGTACAGCCCATTGGCATAGTGGTCACCCTTGTGCTCCCTCACCAGGTCCTCAATCAAGTCCATGAGCTCCTTCAGTTGGTCGTCCCGGTCACTGCCTTTAGCACGGTTATTGAAGGCACACACTCGCCCCCCACACGCTGCCACCAGCTTGCTTAGGGCTTTGTTCTCTGAGTCGTGGATGTAGTCTACCAAGGACCCTCCCTCCAGGTCTTCCTTGTGGGTGAAGAGGACAATTGTGTGTCTCATGGCATCGTCTCCAAAGATCTCCCTCACCCTCTGCGCAGCCTGCTGGTCCTGGGTGGTGAATCGGCCCAGCTGCATCACCAGGAGCAGCACATGGGGTCCTGGGGCAGAGAGCGAATAGCATCTCTGGACCTCCTTGTACGGGGAGTCAGCGTGGTCCTTCCCAGAAAACATATCTGGTGTGTCAATAACGACCATCTCCCTCTCTCCCCAGCCTCCCCGACTTTGACTGCAAGTCTTGGTCAGGGTCCGGGCGCCCAGCCGCGACTCAAACGCTTGCTTCCCGAGGATGCTATTCCCAGTGGCACTTTTGCCAGTGCCCGTTTTGCCCACCAGAATGATCCTCAGCTCTGATCCTCTGGCAAGTTGGTTCTTCCCATGTGGTCCTGTTAAGAGCAAGTTTGCTGTGTTATTACTCTATTGATCACGCCAATGGAATGTTTTTAATGATAAGGACTTATTCTCACATTATGGGAAAAGACCTTCAACAATATATTGTACTTATGAACTCAAAGCTTCATCAGCAAATAAAACAAATAAATTATGGGTTTTAAACCTTCTCGATTTTCTAGGACTGCAGGGTATTGCCATGTTGGATCCCAGGCAAGCGTACGTGGGTGACAAGACGAATTTAGAAACATATCTCGTCACGTAAGGCTTGCCTGAATCGCTGCGCTCTGGCCCTCTAAAAGACAAATTTTCTGAAGATCAGAGATGTGAGGCCAAGACTGTGGCTCCATCTCCGGGCGGGTTAAGTAACCTGACTCTGCTCTGAGGCCAGAGCTGGTGCCTCTGACCTCGGCTGGGCAGGGCTGTGGTCGTGACCACCAACGAAATGGCTGGAGCAGGAAAATACTGGAAAGAGCAGTGCAAAATTCCTCTCCTGAGTGAAGGAGCAGCTGATGGCCCATGCTTTGCTTAGAGAGGACAGCATGACTTCTATGTAAAATAGGCACACAATATGGTGAAATAGGCACACGGGAAGTCACTGTCTCACCTGAGTGACGGTGTTCACGTTGGCCCATTGCTGCTCCTGAGGGACAGACACCAGAGACCAATAAAAAACCATTACCTTTCAGTTCTGGATCGTGAAAGGCCCTTGTACTCCAAGAGCACTTTCACACCGTGCTTCACTTGTTTGCACATAGCTGCCAACGTGCTGGAGGAGAATTACCATCCTCCGTTACAGAGAAATCCAGTCACTTGCCCCTAGTCACCCTGGGAGTGGAGAAGCCCCCTGCTTCTTACCTCCATGCCCACCTCTTCTCTTGCTTCCTTCCTCCCTTCCGCTCACTGGCCTCCCTGCCCCTTCTCTTGGCCTCACCCCTTTACTTCTCTCACCTTCTTGTCTAAGTGTGCGCTCCCCACTTCTGAGATTGTCTCCTCCTCCTCCTCTCCTTCTTTCCCCACCTTGCTCCCTTCCTTCCACTTCTCCACTCTTTCCAAACCCCCTGCCTTCATTTTCAGTCCTTGCGGAGACACTCAATGAGTTAGGAGCACGACTCTGGAAAAGCACACTGTCCTTTACGCCAGAAATACACTTCAGTGATCTGTCAATTACCTGAATATTCCTCCTCCCTCAGGCGCCACCAGGAAGTAGCCCTGCGACCTAGTTCCCTGTCCTGGGCGGTGAGGAGCATCGGTTCATGTTCATCCAATCACTTTTTCTCTCCCTTAAATCCAGCAGCATGTACCAAAGCAACAAGGCACAGAAAACCGATACCCACATGGGAAAGCCCAAATTCTTCCAGTTAGCACTTTTCATTGGCTTTATGCTAAGGAAACTCTCTTTGCCAGAGATGTGTAAACTGAGCGATGGGAAGTTCTCAGTTCTGTAAGCTGGCTTCCCTTAAGCCAAAGGCAGTCACTCTACATCGTTTCCCTTAAAATAGGGCAAATTTCTTCGTGACAAATTTTTTTTGAACATAGCTTGGGAACTAGAAATCAACACTGAACGGCGTTTCTTGAATATGGGCTTACCGATTTACTGGCCAAAGGAACAGAGGGCTTCCCGTCCAAACCTGTGACTTGCCAGCTCAGGGCGAAGAGAAAAAGAAAACAAAAACCCCAGTCTGTTTTCTTCCTCTCTGTAATCTCCACTGAGCTTCCTCTTGCAAAAGAGCCCCACCGCGTGCCGGCGTCTGAAATTCTCATTTATGCCACATATACAAAATAGGCAGTTAGAATGGGAAAATCTAATCCGTAGTCATTCGCTATCGTGTGGGCCGCCTGTCTCTTCCTGTCAGTGGGGAAAAGCTCTTGTTTGAATGATTTCGACTGGACAGGATAGCAAGGCAGGGACACCAGGAAATGGGCAGTTTGATTCCTTCCCACCCGGCTGTGTCCTCACAGTTACAATTTTTCCTAACTCACTCACACTGGTGGCCATGATGGCTTTGAAGTCAAGTGCCACTGGGGAAGGAGAAAGCATCGGGGGGGCACCTCTGACAGCGCACCATACAGGGGAAGAAGGATAGAGACAGGAGACCCCGAGAGAAGCCCGTGTTGTCCAAATCAGACCGAGAGTAACATCAGTGACCATCAAAGCATCTTGAAACAGCTCACTCGTGGCTTCGCTGGCATCCCTGCCTTTCTTTCCTGTCCGGCTCTGTGATTTCAGGGAACACACCCCAGGGAGCAATGATCTAGGCAGTGTCCACAATAACAAGCTGGAGTGTCCACACTCAAGATGAACAACCCAAGAGTTAAAGTTGAAATCATTCAAACGCTCTTTTTCCTATTTATATGACAATCACTATGACCCGATTAAATGACCCGATTAAAACCTGGGCAAAGGATCTGAATAGATATTTTTTCAAAGAAGTCATACAAATAACCAATAGATACATGAAAAGGTGCTCAACATCACTAGTTATTCGAGGAATGCAAGTCAAAATCACGATGAAACATCACTTCACACCTGCTAGGATGGCTATCATCTAAAAGACAAGAGATAACAAGTGTTGGCAAGGATGTGGAGAATTCACACTGTTGGTGGGAGTGTAAATTGGTACAGCCACTATGGAAAACGATGTGGAGGTTCCTTAGAAAATTAAAAGTGGGCCTGCCATATGATCCAGCCATCCCTCTTCAGGGTATAGATACAAGGGAAATGAACCCAGTATCTTGATGAGATGCCTGTCCTTCCGTGTTCATTGCAGCGTTATTGACAATAGCCAAGACGTGGAAACAACCTAAGTGTCTGTCAATGGGTGAATGGATAAAGAAGAGGTGGTAGGTGTAAATGACGGAATATTATTTAGCCAAGAGAAAGAAGGAAATCTGGCCCTTTGCAACAACATGGGTGAAGCTTGGGGCATTATGCTAAGTGAAATAAGTCAGACAGAGAAAGACAAATAGTGTGTAATCTCACTTATATGTGGAATCTAAAGAAAAAACGTGGAACTCCTAGAAACAGAGAGTAGAGTGGTGATTACCAGGGTCTGGACATTTAGGAAGGTGGGGAGGCGATGGTCAGAGGGTAAAAGCTTTCAGTTATGAGTGAGCCAGCTCTGGGGATGCACTGTGAGCAGGGTGACTACAGTTAGAATCCTGCACCTCACACGTGAAACTTGTGAAGTCAGCACATCTGTCCTGTTCTCACCACACACACAAATAAGGCGACTCCGCGAGGCGGTGGATGTGTTCGTTAATTTCACTCTAATAATCATTTCACAGAGTATACATATATCAAATCATCACCTTGTACACTTTAAATATATATGGTTTTATTCGTCAATTGTAACTCAATAAAATTGGGGCAGAGGGGACAAAAAATAAAGACAGACAGCAAGTAAGGATGTTGAAGAACCAAA